TTCCCTCACTCTCATTTTTCTTTCATCACAAATGTAACAGTGCAAGTGGGAACTAATAGGAAAAAAAGCATTTGTGGAAAAAAGGGAGCCAAGGGAGAGGTGGGGAAATGTGAGGATGCAGGGGAAACGCAGGTGCTTGGTAACAAGCAACAGAGAGGATGACAGGAAGGAGAGGGAGTGACCATCAGCTGTGTTGAGAAAAGCAGGAGCAAACAAATAAAAGCTTGACAATGGAAATTAAAACTAGATTTAAAAATTTTTGCATTGCTAAGGAGTTGCTATAGGTCTAAAGAACCTCAAAAATCCTCAAAGTCCCAGTTATATTGTATAAGTTGTAAATATAGAACATTATACTTAAAATATGATGATATTATTGTATGAGATACTATGAAATACTCTACCATTCAAACATTTGGGTTTGGTAAGATTTTTAATGCTTTGAAAGCATTTTGTCCTATGCTCACCAAGGCTGCATTTATTTGATTGAAAATACAGTAAAAATTGTTATATTGTAAAATATTTTTACAGTTTCAAATAACGGTTTTCTATTTTAAAATAGCTTAAAATGTTTTTATTTCTGTTATGACAAAGCTGAATTTTCAGCAGCGATTACTTCGTTATTCAGTGTCACATGATCCTTCAGAAATCATTCTAATATGCTGATTTGGGGCTCAAGAAACATTTCTCATTATCATAATTATTGTTGAAATCAGTCTGCATGTTTTTGGAAAAAAGTGCCCAAAGAGGGCATTTTTATGCCATCGCATATTACATTTCTGGGGCTTTTTGTTACCCTCTTTACACCTTAGTTAATTTCTAATTTCCTTGGTAACAAGACAGTTTACCTCAGTAAGCCTCATGATTTGGATTTTATTTATGTCTGTAGCTCAAAAAGTGCAGGTCAAGTTACACCCCAACCTGTAGTGCCTTAAGTTAATGGCTAATTTAAATCCATAACCTTAAATGTGATCATAAGTAGCACGGGTATATTTGTAGCCAACAATACACTGTACGAGTCAAAATTACAGATTTTTCTTTTATGCCAAAAATCATTAGATTATTAGAAGATATTTTAGTTATAAACTTAATTTTTGATTACTGTAGTAATGTGCATTGCTAAGAACTTCATTTGGACAACTTTAAAGGCTATTTTCTCTATATTTTGATTTTTTTTGCACCCTCAGATTCCAGATTTTCAAATAGTTGTCCTATATTATCCTATCCTAACAAACCATGCATCAATGGAAAGCATATTTATTCAGCTTTCAGATGCTGTATAAATCTCAATTTCAAAAAACTTACCCTTATGTCTGGTTTTGTGGTCCAGGGTCACAAATATGAGCAATAATGACAATGATGTCTGCATTAGCAATGACTACCCTAGTAAAGATCCCTGTCACACTCCCCGAACAAACACCCTCATGTACCGCACAAATGCACTGTATTCCCAGATGCACGGGCCTGAGTGTACAGCATTGAATAATGTAGAGTTCGGCTGCATATCAGGATGACCTAGATTCAGCTGCAACGAAAAGCTGGAGGATTCCTGCGCCGTTTTATTGCAGAAACGTGTTGATCTCGCGCACCGACAACATGAGCAACATGTAGAGGACACGCAAATGAGATATGAACATAAACTGCATGGAGGTGCGACACTGTGGTCAGCCAGAGAATCCTCGCCGTATGAAAGGGAGCGGAGATCAATCGAAAGGGGACCCTTTATCTCTCACTCCTGGCCCGGTTGCAGCGGCAATAACGAGATTCCATCAATGACAGAGGGCCCGTTGCCTTGGCAACGGTTATGAATGAGAGGAGGCTGGTAAAAGAGGAATCGCCGGTTGCTATGGTGATGCCGTGAATGGGGAGAGACCTGGTGGTGTGATGTTGGAGAGAGGCTTCCACGATCGTCATCTTCATTTTTTTTTTTTAAAGCAAATGAGCGAGACTGAATCTATTCTTAGAAACGTTCTTAAAGCATATAAACATATGAACATAATATGTATCAGTATAATCATACACATACATATATGCGCATAAACTGCAGCCAATATTAGCTGTTTCGCTAACTTCTACCAGACGTCCACACCACACCCTTTCTCCCAATACCTCGCAGTCATTTTACATATTTGGGTTGTGACATGTATTTTGAAGGATTATTTTGTGTGATGTTACAAACACCAGACCTAATGATGCAATAGAGGAGAGAAGGAGCGATAAACTGGTGTTGGGAGAAAAGGTAAAAAGAGAAAGCCCTTCCATCAGTGTGTGTGCTCTGATTGATTGTCAGGTTTTCCCCAGCAGACGGAGGCCTTGTCGCTCCTGTGAATCCCTCTATCTCACCCTGTCATCGTCCTCTCCCTGGGGCCGAGGGGCTTTCTCTTTACCACTCTGCATTCTCAGGGCTAACTGTGTGTCTTTCAGTCTGTCCTCTCCAGAGTTTCCCAAATCACACTTTATTCTCTGCACAGGACTCTCCCACTGTTGCTGAGAGAGAGGGCAGTGACTACCTCACCAAAAACTGTGAGAAATACAGAGACTTATTTAGCAGTTGAGAGAATGAGGGTGTCTGAATCACAAATGGCACTGAAATCACAGTTTTTTTCTTACTAATTTGACAAACATTTTAGAATAACTCTGGGTAAGAAGCAAGTTATTTTTTTTTCTAGTTTTTAACTATTTTATTGGCATTTCTCAATGATGAGTACACTTTAAATTAGGTCACTTCCAGAATAAAAAGTATCTGATAATTTACTCAACTTGGCTTTAACTACTATGTACTTACATCAAAAAATAAGTACAATGTACTTATTGTGTTCATATTGTATTGCAAAACACTTTTGCTGCTATTGAGGTGGGATACGGGTAAGGTTTGGGACAAGTTTTGGTGGTATGGGTAGGTTTAAAGGTGGGCTAAGGTGTAAGGGATGGGTCAACAGTGTAATTGTAAATGTAATTACAGAAATTAATTACAGATGTAATTACATGCAAGTATTTTTTAAATATAAGTATAATGTAAAAACATGTATGTACACATGATTAATTTAAATGTAAGTAGGCCTACATCTAAATCCACCTAATTTAAAGTGGGACTGTATATTTTAATTTCTTCAATTCTTTTTTTCCCAATTTGATAAGCATATTAGAATAATCCTGGGTAAGAAGAGGCAAAAGTGCAATCTGAATGGAAGTGAATATCCTAAACTTTGTGTTTGACTTTTAAAAAATTAATGAATGTGTTAACTTAAACTAAATTCATAAAAAGCTGTTTTTGTACTAAAGTAAATGTTAACTAAAATAAAATAAAATTCTATTTCAGTTTATAGAATATTTTCTAACTTTCAGAATATTTCTAATTTGTGATTTTAATTTAGTTGAACTTAGAACTGAAATAAAAGCTGAAATAAAAGTTAATAAAAATAGACATTTAAAAATAAAAAAAATACTAAAAAAAAACATTAAAACTAATAAAACTTTAAGTAAATGAAAACGAATTAATCCATTAAATAATGTTACTAATTCTAAAGTATATAGAATACTAAAGTATCACTGAAGTGAACACAAATGCTTCTATTTTGTGTTGCATTCTTAGTGCTGACAGTAGGGATGCTATATCATTAGCATGAAATGTATGCTGATTTGGTGCGCAAGAAACAATTCTTATTAACATCAACGTTTATTTTTGTGGAAATCATGATTAATAAAAGTAAAAATTTCTTTGAAAAACGGCAATGTGTATATAAAAAGACATCCATTGGAATGTCCAAGATGCTTTTTTTCATACAAAGTCAGTGACAATATGGTCAAATGTGTCACTGTTTCATTTTATTAAAAGGAGAAGTCTGGACAAAACACTTTTTCGTTCAATGTATAAAAAAGAAAGCTATACAGGCATTGAACAACAAGTAAATAATGACAAATATGGGTGCACTACTTCTTTAACTATCAACCAGTAAGCCTCCCTTAGTCAATCATAATTATCATGATAGTTGACCATAATTTTCCAGCTCCACCAGCAAGACCATCACTAAGCAGCATAAATCAACAGGGACCAACATGGAAATGAAAAGGTTTTCAAGGTTTTCACTCTATCTTGGATTCTTCCATTAGCCTCTGATCTCCTCCTCCTCCTCCTCCAGCTATACGTCTTTCCACATCAACCAACACCTTCTCTCTCTCTTTCTAATTTTCCAATATTCCAAAGCCCAGGGGAATGGAGTAATGAAGTCACATGGCCCTGCCTTCTTTAGCACTGCAATACTACAACACATCCCCCCTACACACCCGTCTCTCTCTCTCTCTCTCTCTCTCTCTCTCTCTCTCTCTACTTCCTAGTGAGGTGACATTTCAGACATGCCCTGATGGTTGCTCCCTACAGTGCTGCTGTGATCTGCCTGTGTTTGAGAATCCACGTGTGTGTGCCTGTGTGTGTGTGAGAGAAAGAGTGCTCATTAAGGCATGACGGAGCCTGTGTCCAACCAGACCTCTGCTGTGTACGTAGCAGTGCTTCACACACAGAGTTCCAGAAGGGGCGTGACTTTCTCTGGGTTAATTTAGGCCATGCGAAAAGTACATCTTTTAGTATGTGTTACAGATAATGTGCAGTCAGTCGGGTAATAAGGCAATCTATAATCTATTTTATACCTGAGTTATGAGCTTTAAAAGTCTGAAATGCTAAGTTAAACACAGATAAAAAGTGTTTGTATTGCTTTGTCATCTCTGGCTGCATGCAAAAGAAAAATAATGATTCCTGTAGTCTGAATCATGAACAAATGACTCTTAATGAATTGATCCAAAAGAGCCACAAACTCCACTGACAACACGAATCATTATACAAAAATATTTGACATCAGAATGCCACCATTGACCTATCATAATCAAGTGTTTCATAGAGCCATCTAATAATTGTTTATATTGACTCATAAATCGAGCAGCTCAAATTCTGTTTTATTATATTTCACCATGACACCAGACGCCAGAGTGTGTGTGTTTGTGTAACTCACCCTGTGAGCACCACTACAAAGTCCATCACATTCCAGCCGTTTCTCAGGTAGGAGCCCTTGTGGAAGGCAAATCCTAGTGCAAGAATCTTAATGCCCGACTCAAAACAGAAAATTGCAATGAAATAGGGCTCTGTGTCATCCTGCGAGAAAAAGAAAACCACAGATGGGATTATTATAAAAATAATTTTCACTTAAAACATTCTCAGTGCTTGGCAGTTTTTAACTAATCTTTTACTCTGTGTGTGTGTGTGTGTGTGTGTGTGTGCATCTACGCAAAGGAGCAGTTCACACAAAAATGAAAATTAAATTCTTAGCAGATTTTCATTTTTGGGTAGGTTATAGTAGTTATAACTAGCTGTACATAAAAACAGTAGTCTATGCAATGTTCCCATTTAAATTTAGCTAAGTAAATGTGTGTGTGTGTGTGTGTGTGTGTGTTTTCCACTTTACCAGTCGTTCTGACAGTGGAGTTTTGTCTCCATCTGGTAAGTGTTGTTCAAGAGCCAGTACGATGCAGTTGGCAATGATGGTGGTCAAAATCATCCACTCAAACGGAGTAAGAGACAAAGTTAAGGCTAAAAACAAGCTGGATTCATCATATCAAACATATTTAACATGCAAAAACATTTTTTAAATGACTATGCAAACATAAAACTTCATGAACTTTGCAAAAAAAAAAAAAACAGTATAATGTCGAAAAATTATTTTTATCATACTATAATGTCAAGAGTAATATAATAATCTTAGAACAACAACAAATCATGCACACATAATGTTGTCTTCTTGCAGAGTTTGGATAAACCATGTGCATTCAAGTGAGAGTGATATAGAGCTGTAAGCCTGGGCTCACACATATACATACAAAAATAAACACACACACACACACACACGCACGCACGCACAGGGCTGTATTAACACTTTAAGCCCTGAAGGCATTTTTAGAGTTGTTTTTTTTCTGAGTGACATACAGTCATGGCCAAAAGTTTTGGCAGTGACATAAATTTTGTGTTTTGCAAAGTTTGCTGCTTAAGCTGTTGTGGTGTTCATTCACATTGTTTCTAGATTATTGTGTATTATTGAGTGATCAGATGCATTTTAAATAATTGCTAAAATCTTCACTGGCCAAAAAATGAACTTTTCACAAAAAAAATAAAAAATAAAAAAAATAAATTTCAGTATTTTTTGATCCTGACACAATAACATTAATTATCTAATCATATCAGCAGCACAAGTGAAAGTGTGAATGAGTACTAGTCACGTAAAATCACTATCATACTAATTAGATTGTAAGAGCAGACTGATTGCTATAAAAGGAGGGAAGAAGCGCTTCCAATCATTGTGTTCTTGTTAGCAATGGTTACCTACAAAGAAACACATGCAGCCATCATCGCTTTGCATCAAAATGGCCTCACATGCAAGGAAATTACTACAAAGAATATTGCACCTGAAAGAACCATTTACCGGATCATCAAGAACGCTAAGGAAAGAGGTTCGACTGCAGTGAAGAAGTCTTCAAGACCTCCCAGAGTGTCCAGCAAGCACCAGGACCGTCTCCTCCTGAGGAGTCACACTGTAAACCCTAATGTTGTCTTTACTTAAACAATCAAGTAATGTTGACTAAAATTTTGCATTTTGGCCCTGTCACTTAAAAACATGAGTTAATTTAACTTATTTACCTTCAAAATGCATAAACTTAAGATTTCAAGTGTTGTGAGCTCAAAATCATGATTAATCCTTTAAAAAAATAGGTCATTTTCACAAATGTAGTCTTCTTGACTGTAAAATTCTAATTCTAACCTTTAAGTGCAAGGTCTTTTTTCTTTTTTTATCAGACAACAAATGGCTTCAATTACAATTATTGACCATAATGGGAATACATTGACATTTTTATTTAGGAAAAAAACTTTTCAAAGTTGATAAATTAACTTTAATACATATACAAGTGTTTTTGTGACACTGGGTTGCACAGTTTTCACTCAAAAGCCTTTTAATACATGCACCTACATTTGTGTAATATACACTCACAGACATGAACACACATACACGCCACATGCTAAAATGCAGTGAAAGAGTTCCTTACAGCCTCCTCCCAAGTCTCATAAAAAATCATCCTAATCGCCTTATTTTGTTATCGATATGGTTTTGTTAGTTTCTTTTTATTATTTCATGCGATCCAAAACCTGCCGCGCTTCGTTTCTCTGTTCAAATCTTTTCCGCTTTCCTCCGAAAGTGGCTGTCATTTGCAGACGGACAGCGTGAAATTACTTTAATAAAGCTGTATATTGCCGACAAACACATGATGTCTACTATCGGGGCAATTTCAATGATTTTGATCGTGCAAACGGTTGAAGAAAATACACCTTGTTTGTATGTGTCAGCGACCACACATTCAGACCACAAATTGGTCCTTTTTGGCCTGGTCTGGTCTGTTCAGTTGCTGACACCACATTTCAAGACGGAAGTTTTTCTTCGTGTGCTATGTTCGGTAAGTAAAATTATGTAGATATAAAGTTATTTTGTGTGATTTTTTAAGAGTGAAATATGTTTATTTAAATCATTGTGGTACGTTTCTATAATAAAAGACAATGCAGCCATAATTACAATATTCCCAGTCAAACTTTGCCAGCGTAGCCATCAAGTAACGTTAACGATATGGATTTGTGATGGTATGATAACTGAGATATCAAATTATTCTTTATTTGATTTGTAATAGGCTACTGAAACATATTAGTTAATACACTTTATCATAGTGTAATCGTGTAAGTTATTTCTGTGGGAAACAACATGGCAGCCACTTCTGAGATCAGTTAACGTTGTTCCCCCACCCCCAATAATTAACGATACTTTCTTAATGATTTTGTGCTGATATGATTATTGAAACGACAACTTATTTCTTATTTTACCAGTGAGGTATACATATTTGATGAAGTGGCCTAATCATTTTCCTTTGAGAGAAAGAACATGGCAGCTACTGTTTAACTAGACCCATGTGGGTTAGGTTTTCCCGGGCAAACTTTGTCAGTGTCACAAAATTTATGTCACTGCCAAAACTTTTGGCCATGACTGTACACAAAAGACTCTTAACTCCAAAACTATAGCAAGGAGAGTCAAAAGGTAGGTATCGTTTGATAGAAATTTCTTTCTAAATTTCTAGAAAATATTTTTTATTACATTTGGATATTTAACATGAAGTTTTCAAAAGTGAGAGCATTTGGAACCAAGGTAGACTTTTTGACAACTGGAAGGCATTTTTAAAACTGTTGACTATAGCAAGGAGAGTCAAATGGTAGGTATCATTGAATAGAAAACTTTCAAAAAATTTTAGAAACTAAATTTTCATTACATTTGGACATTCTAATGCTGAGAAACTACTGATAAAAGGCAAAAATTGAAAGTGTGCCCAAGGGAAATTTCACTTATCTTTCTGATTTGACATGCAATAACTCGGGAAGTAAATAAGGTAGGAGGGACATTCATTTTTGTTGAAGTTGCATCTGTGAACATGTGAACTGCATCTGGATGAAATTGTGTGGTGATAGACTCAAACTTCCATTGGTAGAGCTTCTCAACATTTTGTGTTGGTGATGCAAGTGCAGTTGCGTCTGCACCCCAAATATAGAGGTAGGCGTTGCTAGACCTGATTTTAATATACCATTGGTAGAGCTTCCAAAATATTTTTTAAATATTATTTAAAACAAGCATGAATGGTTCCAATAACAATGGATAACATGATTGCATCCGGGAAAGATGAGAGACATATCTTTAGCCAATTAACATGTTACACCACTCCGTGAGGTATATCTCATGATCGACGCAATGGATTATGTTGATTCTGGACTCATGTCAATAAGGAGCATTCACTATAAGTAATGATATGCCATTTTCTACGATCTGTGCATGTTTCATGGAGTTACAAGCGAAAACGCCATATGAATGCTACATTTGTATATACTTGGCCACATGCGTGTCTGTGGGGTTTTATGTGATATAACTCTATGAAGAATATCTTTAGATCTGAGCAATGGATTATCACTATTATGCTTGATGTATTCTACTTCATGAGACCTTTCAAATTATATATGACACATGACTATCTGAGCTGTGTGATAGTCTTGACATAGTTTTTTTTTTTTTTACTGTTCTGTAATGTTTCATAAATTCAGAACTTAGGAGTTAATCAAATTGGCAACATGCTTTGTTAAGTTCAGATTCGAAGCTTTCACTTGACATTTTGTGTTGAACAAGGCAGTAGTTTTGAAAAATATGATTATTAATTTTTTCACCACTCAAGTGGTGCCTGTTTGCGATACACTCCGGTTTAGAGGGACAACTCAGCACTCGTTAAGAGACATGCATTAAAAAGCTCAGTTTCTAAGCTTTAGCTAAAGCTAAGCTTTTCTAAGCTCAGTTTCTAAGGGGGGGTCCTGCTGGTGGTACACTTTGGACTTAAAGGGTTAAACAGATGAGTGTGGACAGATTCAGCCTGGCTGCAATAGAGCACTCATTATCCAGTTACTGTGTGTCTCTTTACCAGCTGCCACTGGCACTGATACACACACTCAGCACTTGTCATAACCGCTTATGTCATGCTTGTGACACATAAGCACACACACAAATACATGCAGTCACTGTGATGACTGCTACACACTCCAGTATCATTTTATAATAACTTCAATTAAATGAATAAATATTTACATTACACTCACTCAGTCAGATCATTTGTTCATCTACATCCAATCTATAAAAAAATGCCATGAAACATTGATACTAGGTGTATATGTATTCATATCATGCAAAAAATATTTGTATATGTATATATACATATGCACGCTGATAGTATTAACATCATAATTGGCAAGACAGAGTTTAAAACAGCTATTTTATATATTTTATTTATTATTTATTAAATGCAGAAGCCCTAGAATGTGATATCATATCCTGTTTCTCACTGTGCACTGAAAAAAAGGTAATGGAAACAATTTTTGTTCAGAAATTGCTAGTAAATTTCACAATAAATTACAAACTACTAACACATTGAATTAAACATGGAATTTTGAAGTAGGAAGAAACTGTATTTTCTTTTCATATTTTAATAATATTGGTTTTATTTGCAACTTTGAAAAAGCACTTTTAAAGTCTGTGAGCCTCAGCCTCTTAAGTATGAGACTATATTGCAGACCACATCTGTCTTATTCTATATGCATTATGCAAGCATGTGAACATGGCTCCTGAATTCACCTCAATCTGTCTGCAGTGTTAACATAGTTATGTTTAAATTACATCAGTTATTTTGTGAAGCAAAAAGAGCAAACAGACCTCTCAGCGCTCACATCATGACTAACTTAATCCTTTCACACACACACGCTTATTTATTCAGAGCTCATTGAAATTACCAATACACAGTTAGCTCAGGGCTAACATGGCTAACAGTACAGTGCATGCTGGGAAACTTAAAGTGGTATCCATAGCAACCACTCGAGCGCTAAAGTGAGCATGTGCAGAGTGGCTGTTCTGAGAAACGAAATGTGGAGCATTTGCGTAAACCCTTTAC